TGCTAGAAATGGGGAAGTGAAGAGAGAAAAATTATGTCTCAGAAGAAATTTATAGCACACCTGTTACTAGATACCAACTCTAATCACTGCTTTTGAGTTTTATTATTTTTCTACAATTCGAACTAAATCTTGAATTATTTTTCTAGCGCTAGAAGTAATCTCTAAAAAGGACTGGATTTTAATTTTCTTCATGATGTTTTTAGTTGAGTCCCCAATGGAGCAGGGTTTTTCTGTTGTTGCTGTCCTGGCATATACATTCTCTTTTTTACTATAATTCTTATATGCATTATATTTCTACTACATAGGTCTTCTTTTACTTCAGCTGAGAAAATTAAACTCATGGTATTCTGAATACTAGAGATGATTCAACGCATGGCCGCAGCTGTATAAATCAGCAACTTGACAGAAGCCTCACTTGGGCCACCGTGTGATGCCATCCCAATTCAGCTTTGGGGGCTCTTAAAATTCCTCACTGAGATGTGTCCTCATCCCTACCCCCGCCCCACGTGGGACAGGACCATCTGGGAATGAGTCTTCTTAGTGACATGGAACAAAGCTTCTGTACATAAAAGTAGCCAAAGACATTTGTGTTCATTTAGGAAGTTTTATTTAAAAGATCTTGATGAAAAGGAGGGAAATGAGAAAAGTAGCTCAGAGCTGTCTGAACTATCTGAGGTATGCAACATTTATCAGGCACAGAGGGACAGGAGTGTGGGACACCCTTGCACCCATGCCCAGAGACAGCGGTTGAAAGGTTTTTGATCCTGACTAGCAGCCTTGCCCATTATCTTCAAGTTGCTGGAATCTGTGATATAAAAAACAATGTATAGCCAATCAATAGCTTCTGTTATTTTAAGGCAAATTCTTGGTAAACAACTTGGGAACTGCCTATTCTCGTTTTTTTTGTTTTTTTCCTTCTAAAATCTCCCCTTGTAACTGTTACTAAATGAAGGAGATGGCTTTTTTACTAACTCTTCCTATATAATATAGTTTACTTTCCAACCTGATAGTGGCATAACATCGCATAACAGATAAAGAAGGAAAATCAAAGTATGTTATGACCCTGTAACACTGTCTTCTGGGGATTCTGGGCACCTTTAAAGACACTTACCTATTCTTTCTGAAGTTTGTCACGATATGAAACATCTACATATCAGGAAACTTGACTCACTTATCATTTCTCAAGCTGCCCATTTCCTTTGCTGCTTTCAAAATCCCTTAGATAATTCTTGCTAACTGATTGCCAGTGAGGAAATCTTTGAATCCACCTATGACCTGCAACACACCTCCCTCCCCTCCTACCCATCATGCCCTCAACCCCCCCAGCCCGCAAGATATTTCGCCTTCCGGGAAAGAACCAATATAAATCTCATGTGTATGGATTTATGGTTTCCTGTAACTTCTGTCTTCCTAAAATGTATATAACCAAGCTACAAGTCAACCTTGGTGGGCACATGTTCTCAGAACCTCCTAAGGACAGGTGCCACGGGCCTAGGGTCACTCATATTTGGCTGGGAATAAACCAACTTAACTAGTTTACAGTTTGGCATCTTTCACTGACAGGAACAGGGAACAAGGACAACAAGAGGGAGGCCTTGAGGAGCTATGTGGTTCAATCTCAGTGAACAAAAGCCACCTGGGAATTGCCTGTGCTGGGAACGACTGGGGCAGACTTCTTGTTCTCAGGCTGTGTAACATCCCTCAGAGAAGGACTCACAGGAAGACTTTATTTACTTTTCCTGGACACTAGTCCTGTCTGGCAGCCTTCCCTTGATGACGTGGGCTGCATCTGAAGACTGGTCCTGAGTGGAGCCAGTCCTGGAGGTTGGTACGGTTGAATTTTAATTCCATCCCTCAGACTAGATAACTTCTAAAACTCTGAAACATACATGTTTCTTTAAACTTATTCTCTTTGTATACTTCTCGCCATTTATATATTAATGTGCCATTTGATTAATGTCAGTCCTCCCAGTTCATCTTAACACTGGGAAGTTCTAGGTTCTGTCCATTCCTGCTCCACAATATGGGGTTCTGTTATAATTAGGGTTGCCAGATTTAGCAAATAAAAGTACACAGTTAAATTTGAAAAATAATGAACAATTTTTAATACAAATATGTCTCATGTGATACTTGGGGCATATACTAAAAACTATTGGTTGTTTATCTGAAATTCAGATATAACTGTGCATCCTGTATTTTACCGGACAACCTAATTATAACTTTTTTTTGATGCTCAGTAAATATATATGTAAATGAAAGAATGAATGGGGTTATGCATGATGTAAACCATCACACCAAATACAGACAATTTACTGGAAAGCACACACCAACATGTTGAAGTGGCTGTCGCAAGGTGGTCGAATTATTAAAGAGTTTGCATCTTTCTAGGTAATTGTGGTTTTCAAATTAACTGCAATGAGCAGAAAAGTGTTCAATGTCATATATTTATATACACGTATTTATCTTACACACACATGCACATGCACACACACACACACATACACACACACTAATTAGTTTAATGCTCACTTAAAGAAGAGACAATCTGCGTTTTCCCTGTGGAATTTTCTGACAACATCAGTTAGAGACATTTTGAGCATGGATGGTAAGATTATTGAAAGCACTATTGAGAGGCCTACATAGCATATCAGTGAAATAGAGTACGCAAAGCATGCAGGAGCTTAATAAGTGTTGCTGTTATTTTATTAATCATACAATGCTTCTTAAACTCCTGAGGTTTTGAGGATGTAAAGATAAATCTAATAGTTAAACACACATAAAATCTTGACTAAATTGTATATAATACACTGGGGAATCTTTGATGTATGTTTGTTTGATTTGCAGAATGAGGGCAGAAAACAAAACAACATATGCGCTTACAGAATCTAGGTCAAGGACAACGCCTCCTCCACTGCACATACAGCTTCTGCATGATACCTTGAGGCCAAGCACCATACAGACTTGTCCTCTGAATGTCCACAATGGACCACCAGTGATGCACAAGTTCAGAATGTCACACCTTCATGAAACAAGCGAGAAAAAGAACTAGCACTTATAAGACAAACATTACCCTGTGCTAGGTATTGTATAGCATTTTGTCTCATTTCACCTATAAAACAACCCAAGTTACACACATTAACCCTATCTTTTCACCATGTGACTTACAAGTGATAAAGTCAATTACAATCACACAGTCAGAAGCACTGCAAGATGTTTAACAGTTGTGAATTCACAGACATTGAAGATGCTGTGCTTACTAAGGCAGAAAGCATTTACTAGAAAGAATAATGCAGATTTGTGAAGATTTTTATCTCAAGGTTTGAAAGACAAAAAGGTTTTCTGTTTCTCTTTAAAGAATGTCCCCTATCGGTTTCCAATTCTGACTGCAATGCCAGAAGTGACTAAGGGAGGGTCTCTTCTCTCTCCTCTATCGAGGGCAATGGCATCCAGTGTTCCAGTGGGAGGCTAATGTGAGAAGTGGGAAGAAAAGAATAGGATATGTCATCACCAGGTCTGTATGAATGGAGAACAGAATGTTGTCTGGAATGACGATGCCAAGTTAGCAAATCACAGAATCTATAGACTTTGGCCAGCTTAAAACCTTGCAGCACCTGTGTTTTAAGGAAACAGGAACTGAATGAAATCAACTTTGCTCACACAGCAATGAGAGACAAATGTAAAAGGGCCCATGCTACCCCTTCTTTATGAAGGGTTCCTGGTCTTAGAAAAAGAAAATTAGTTGGTTGAACTTTTGAAGAAGGAAAATGTGACTTTGAACAAAGGAAGGCTGTGAAGTGACAGCATTTTATCATTCTGAGGGTGGAGAGAGAGGGAGAGAAAGGCAATTTGCTGACTGCTAAGGCTAGGGAAGAAAGCCTCCATCCATTTGAGCTTTTACATGGCAGCATTTTGAATAGGCCACTCTAAAATACTGATTAAATATACTGAGCTAGAGCTGGGATTATGCTCTACCATGTCTGAGAAGCACATAAACTATAATAGACCTATTTCCAAGTCACACAGAACCATCTTCTTTTCAACTGTGGCATAAAGGCTTTAAACAAATTGTAGATTAGGTGAACTGTATTAATTAACAATGAATGGAGGCAGGTTTTATGCACTGATTCCTTCAAAATGATGTCCCTAAACACATAGTGAAATCTGAATGATTTTTCCATTAGCATTCTCTGAATTGAGAATTTTTTTTTTTTTTTTTCCTTTGCCGGCAAGTCAGAACAGCTTGGTATGCATATTTAAATGACAGTCATCATGAATTAGTTTGAATAACTGGCACTCAATATAATGGAGGCATTAAAATGTAAAGCAAAATGAAGGTGACATGCAAAGACCTCAACACACAAGAAAAGAGCAGGAGGTAGTAGACACTGTAAGCTTCTCTGTCATTGTCTATGCCTTGTATTATGGAAATGGCTTTGAGAGCAGATCCTAGTCACTTAAGGTCTAGCCACCGATACACATTAGCTCCGCTCTGCTAAACCTCATTTATTGAAAATGGCAACACCTATCCTTTTCTGCCTCACAGGCATATATGTGGCTGCTTAATAAGTATGCTACAAATACATCAGTTTTATTGCCAACTATTTTAAGGAGAAAGGGCTTCATACGAATTCTAAAGATCAATCTCATGTCAGCCGGTGAGGCCATACTTTGTACCCAAAGTCCCTCCTCTAAAACCTATGGGGAAAAAGTATCGAATGAGTAGTAAGACATCTGAACTCATTCCTTTACAGCCATTTAATTAAAATGCTTTTTAAAAAGAAATACTGACCTCAAGGACAAGAGAATCAGGGAGTACTTATTGGTGACAATAAAAGAAAAGTGTTCTTTCATTATAAAGCCAACAAAACTGAGAACAAAAGCTCAGAAGAAGACCCTAAGGAGGATTTTGCAAATGCACAGCTGGAATCAAGATGTGTATAAGTAACAGTGCTGGGGATGAAGGTGGCATGTCTCCACTCCAGGCCCCGTAAGCCACTCACCACAAGTTGACCAGGAATGGGTGCTCCAGCCCCTGCATGATCTGCAGCTCTTTGAAAACGTTTCTCACTTCATTCCGCTCCACACACTTCTGTTTATTCATGTACTTCATGGCATACATCTTCTTGGTATCATTCTTCTGCACGATGCAGACCTGACGGTGGAAACCCGAAAGAGAAAGTGACGAGGAGATGAGGGATCACAGCAGTAAGAGACAGAACAAGACTCGTTCTCTGCTGTGGTCCGGATGTCTCAGCACTTGCAAATTCTCTGATGCTAAAAGTTCCCACTTAGCTATGGTTTCAGACTAAAAATTTCATCTCCTTTCCCATGTACCAGTTCAATTCTGGAATCTGTCTTCTAAAACAAGTGTGCCTATTTTTGCTTTTTAGGTTTCTTAGACAGCATTTTGGAGGAAACAGTTGCCTCAAAGTCAGGAATCTTTCAACTACAAATAAAGTCCTTAATCCTGCTCTGAGTGACTGAAATGGACATGACAAAACTGTCGAGCTCAATGATATTGTGCAAAGATTTCTGTTTACAACCACAGGTGAGAAAACCCAAAGGATTCTAAGGACTGAATATGATGTCCATGCTTTTGAAATTTCTTTATAATACCTGAAAAAGTAAACAGCAAATAATTTTAAAATGCAAGTTTAATATGAAATATTACTCTCTCTTAAAGTATGTCCCCATTGAAAAACTCATAATAAGCGTTTCAATCTGGGAGGCTCTTACCAAAAAAAATCAGACTGAATATGCTTATTTTTCATAGTAGATTTTGAAGTTAAAAAACATGGCACAGGCCGGGCTCGGTAGCTCAGCCTATAATCCCAGCACTTTGGGAGGCTGAGGCGAGTGAATTGCCTGAGCCTGTGGGTTTGAGACCCACCTGGGCAAGTTGGCGAGACCTCGTCTCTACAATAAATAAAAAACTAGCCGGGCGTGGTAGCGTGCGCCTGTAGTTCCAGCTACTTGGAAGGCTGAGGCGGAAGGATCACTGGAGCCCAGCAGGTCGATGCTGCGGTGGCCGGGAGCGTGCCACTGCACTCCAGTCTGGGCGATGGAGTGAGACTATAACTCAAAACAAAAAACAAACAAACAAAAAACATGGTACAAATGAGAAAAAGAAAATAAAAAGCAGGTGGCTTCTTTCTCACATGAAAATAACTAAGTCTTCCATTGACAACAAGATAACTATCTCTGGAGGCACACCTGGTACAATCAGAAAATGATTTTGAAATCTCAGTCTCCTTCAGGATAGAGAGAAGTCTTAAACTCTATTGAGAGTAAACTGATTTGACTGTAATGGGGTCAAACTGCGAACATTACATGTTCATTATACAGCTGCCAGTCACACACTTTCCTCAAACTGTGGTGACCATTTTATAACAATCTACTATAAAATCATTTTCACTGAATTTCCCTCCTCGGGGTCCCACACCTCAATAATCTGCACATTCTCGGACTCTCTGCTCCTGAGGTACATGGCCCTGCCAGGGGTGAATCATTTCAGGTCTCACCTTCCCAAAACTGCCTTTCCCAATGGCTCGCAAAATTTCAAAGTGGTCAAAGTTGACTGTAAAACAACAGAAAAGAACAACATCATGAGCGATTATCAATGGCTCGTTAGTAGCTAATTGATAATAAACAAGATTGGACCCAACTGAAATATCTTGTTTAAAACAACATCCCAGTCTACCTTAAAATGCCAATTTATTCATCCAATAAATGTTTACTGAACACTTATTATGTATTAATCATAGTGCTTAGTGCTGGGGATGCAGTAATGATAGAGGCGAAATGGAATCTCTACTTTTTTGAAACCTATCGTCTCGTGGGGGCTCCATAAAGAGAAAGACTCTTAAAGACTAAATAGGCACAACAATAAATGAAAGACGGCAGCGAGTGCTGAGTTTTAAGAAGAGAGGTCATGGGGCTCTAAGAACATGTAACAGGGGATTTGGCACAGGCAGAAAGGTCAAGAGAAACCTCTCTGGGCACAGAATGACCAAGGAAAGACCTGGTCCTAGGTGCATATACCCTTTCCTGAGGAGAAGCACTTTCAACATAGTCTCCTTGCCCTTTTTCTCACTACAACCATCCTTCTGAATCTGAATATTTCCATTTTCCTAAGTAGGAAACTATTACAGCCACAAATATCTACCATGAGCTATTCTCCAAGGACAGATAAGTAACAGCTTAGGACGGTTAGATGCATAGAAGTCCACTGAGTGGTACTGTGAAGTTGAGAGGATCTTCCACATCTGCAGTTTTAAAACCTCAGCTCCTGGAAGAAGCTGTGGGTGCTCAGTTTGTAGGCAGCATGGTCTCTTAGGCAGTGCTCATGAAGTGCCTGTTGAGGAGGAGAATGAAGTATGAATTCTTCCTCACAGGTGGCAATCTTTGCTTTCTTGCCTTGGTAACCTTGAGAAAATGTCTGACTTTGTTTCCTGGTTCTTGAAATAAGGATTTAGATGAGTAATATTCCAAGTCAGGGATTTTAAGAGTTTATTCAGAGATGATTGTAAAACACTACAAGGTACCACTTGTCTCTTTAAAGGACCTCATTTGTCTCCTTTTTCAAGAATAATGACATTAGATCCTCCTGAAGAAAAGGCAATGGGCAAGGGGCCCTCTGAAGCTCTTTCCAAGCTTTCTGAGAGTCGGACATTTTTATGACATGACTTAATCATCACTTCCTCTTCTGAACTCCCAATTCACTTTATTTTTAGCAAAAAACCTACTCAATCCTGTGAGCTAGAATGTATACTACCAATAATCCTGGATTTGGACTCCTAATGAAGTCACTTCAGACAACTGACAGACTCTTTGAGCCTCCATTCTCTCATCTGTAAAATGGGACAGACCTTCCTAGATAAGAGTTCGCCTTTTCCCCAGATAGTGCCAATAAAGTTGTTAACAATTATTCAAGTGAATGATTTATTATCCAAAACTCTTCAGTTTCTGAGTTTATTTCATCCACTAGAGAAGAGCTCTATGAGGGCGGAGATTACACATCACTTCATTCACCCTGGTTTCTCTGAAACCTCAGAAAGTTCCTGCCATAGGGCATTAAAGGCATAGCTCTTCATGATTCTTAGAGTCTAGCACAGTGGTTTGTACACAGCTGGTTGTTAGCAAATGACTCAAACTAAACCATAAGGACACACAAGAACCCTACAACAACTGCTTCTTGTAGATGGGGCAGTGAGAACACTTGAATCCTCTAAGGCAGTGTTTTTCACACTGTGAGTGAAGACCCATTAGTGAGTTATGAAGTACATTTAGCTATCATAAGAAGCATTAAAAATGTAAATAAAAAAGAATATAAAATACCAGAAATGCCTTCAATATAGTAAGAGTAGTACTACTGTCTCTTAAACTTTTGTTTGTCTTACACACATGTGTAGAAAAGTAATGGTCATGACATCATTTTATAAGCCCAGAGGATTTCTGGGAAGATGGCAGTGTAATCAGTCAGACTGTGCCAGTCCCTGTATGTGTGAGTGATTGTATAGACAATTCTGTGTGTGTTTCTGTGTGTAAATGCGTGTGTAAAAGGCTGATTTAACAGTAACTGGCCAGGGCCCTCCTGGTGAAGCCGCTGGTGCTGTAGCTGCTCTGTTTGGACCCTAGCGCTTCCCAGAGCGCAGAAGTTGAGCACCATTTTCTAAAATCAGCAGAGCTTTTTCCAGGAAGAACTGCTGTAATGATTGCTGACCCCGATACCATATTGGTAGCAAGGGCTGCAGAAGGAGTGCAGCAATGGAACCTGAGGCAGAGTCCCAAAGAAATAGCAGGGAGAAGTCAACCTGAGCCTGGACTGGGCTCCAGAGCCTTGCCACCAGGTCTGAGATCTGAAGACTGTGGAAACTGCTGGAGAGGGAGCTATCAAACTCATTGGTGACAGGAACGGCAGCCAGCAGAGAAACTGACCTGACTCTCTAATGCCTGGGCAGAGAAGTGCTCCAGGGCAGCCTCTGCAGAACAGCAGAACTGCATCTTGAGACCAGGGGCTATCTCTGTATTGCACTGGGGCCTCTCTTTGTAACCTCAGAGAACATTGCCCCCAGTGCACAAGACCTGGCAGGTAACAGCAGATGTAGAGTCCCAGATGATTCACCCTTCACCCTGAGCCAGCAGTTGGGCAATAGATGTAGACAGCAAAATTGTATGAGAAAGAGGCTGGTGAGTGCCTGACTCCCTCTTGCCCCTAGCAACAAGTGAAAGAGTTCAGGAGAGCAGAGCAGTCCCCTGCCATTAACTGGATGCCCCTCGAACTCTGACAAAGCTGGGAGAGGAAGGGAAATGGTGAGATCCCAAGAAATGCGGTGTCAAGTTATTTTAGCTCCCTTCCCTCACACGGGTGTGCAACAGCTACCATTTGCAGGCAGCAAGGGGGTGAAGATTCTAACATCTTAAGTTCTAACAATGAATAGGGAACCTGCAGTAACAGCCCTGCAGTCACAGAACCCGTCAAAAGAGGGAGCCCCCCAAAGAAACATACAAAAGTTGAGAACTCTTTATCAACATTTTCCTTCCTTCCTTCCTTCCTTCCTTCCTTCCTTCCTTCCTTCCTTCCTTCCTTCCTTCCTTTCTTCCTTCCTTCCTTCCTTCCAAGGAGGGGTATTGGTTTGTTTGTTTGATTATCTCATTTGGTTGCTTTGTTTGGTTGGTTTTCTCTTTCCATCTTCTATTTCTCTGTCTTTGCTCTTTCTCATTTTTTGTGTTTTTTTTTTAATGTTTTGATTTTTCTTTCCTCTTTTCTCCTTCTTCTCTTTTCTCTTTTTTCCCTCTTATAACCTGTCTTGGACTCAGGGGCTATGCAAACATACCCACTGTAAGGTCATATTGTGCAGATATGACGAGTGAGTCCTAGGTGGCCCATTCACCAGATAGCAAACATTATGACCTGTCAATAGGCTCAGAATCCTTGCAGCCCCATCCCCCACCTCCTAGTGAGTCCTCAAAATTGTAAAGAGACAGTGCAACACCCCGCCCCCAGGCCTACTTCATAATTGAACAAACCCACAGTCCCCGCTCAAGGAAGGATGAAAGGTAGAGGAAATACCAGAAGTGACTGATTCTCCATTTTTCACTGAGCAATGGAATTAAAAAGAAAGATAAAAGAACTGCTACAAATGAAGAAAAACCAAGGAAACATTGCTGGTAACCATCAGAGTCCCAGCAATGAGTCAGTACTGGAAAGAACAACTACTGGGGCACAAATGATGATGATCTCCCAGAATCACAGTACCCAGAAGGTACTCATAGGGATCAGAGAATCGTTGGACAGAATGAATAAAAATCAAGAAATACAAGGGCTAAAACTAAATGAAATTGCAATGGAGCTAGACAGGTTCAAGAAAGTATACTTCGAAATAACAAACAGGCTGGGCACAGTGGCTCAAGCCTGTAATCTCAGCATTTTGGGAGGCTGAGGTGAGAGGATTGCCTGAGTCTACGGGTTTGAGAACAGCCTGGGCAACTTGGTGGAACCTCATCTCTATAAGAAATCAAAAAATTAGTGAGGCATGGTAGCGTTCACCTATAGTTCTGGCTACTTGGAAGGCTGAGGCAGAAGGATCGCCTGAGTCCAGCTGGTCGACACTGGGATGGCCACTGCACTCCAGTCTGGGTGACGGAGCGAGACTCCAACTCAATAAATAAATATATAACAGAAATAACAGAAATAAAGAACTCCACCCAATAAATAAATAAATAACACACTGACAAGCATGGGAAGCAGAATTGACCAAGCAGAAGAAAGAATTTCAGAGCTGAAGACCAAAATATGAATTTAACCCAATCTATTAAAAATATTTTAAAAATAAGAAGAAAGGAGGAAACTCTCTAAGAGATGTGCAACTTTATCAAGAAACCAAACATACGTCTGACTGGTATACTTGAAATAGAAAGAGACATGGAAAACACCTTGGAACAAATATTTCATGAGGTCATTTAAGAAAACTTCCCTCGTCTGGCCAGAGACATGATCAAAGGGATCCAGAGAGCCCCTGCAACACATCTTATGAGAAGAACAACCCCTAGACACATAGTAATTCACCTACACAAAGTAGGTATGAAAAAAAAAGACCTAAAGGCAGCAAGGGAAAAAGGTTAGACTATTTACTGGGGAAGACCAATCAGGTTGCTGCAAACTTATCTGCAGAACACTACAGGACAGAATAAATTGGTTCCCAATCTGTAATATTCTCTAAAATAATAAATTCAACCAAGAATTTCCTACCCAGTCAAGCTAAGCTTCATCAGATAATTAAAGTCCTTCCCAGACATTCAATCCCTAACGGAATAAGCTGCTTTGAGACCAGCTCTACAGGAGATGCTTAAACAGGTGCTGTGCACAGAAGAAAAAAAAGAAACAAAAGAAAAACCATATACTTCAAAAGATCACAAACAAACACAGAAGCAACAGAACAGAAAACACACAGAATACCTGCAAAAATGAAAACACATACATATATTAACACAAAAGCTAAATGAAAACAAAATAGCCTTATAAGAGCATTAAGTCAGGGACAAACTCTCACATTTCAATAATCAGCCTGAATGTGA